AGAAGAAGAAGATGAACAAAACTCCCTATCATAGCCCCATACATCTATGATGCATGTCAATCCCTATATACTAAGTACTACCGTACTTAGTGATGAGTGGTACATAATTATACTGGCTTATAAGATGCTTTTTTATATTTATTAGCCAAACCTTTGTAATGGGACAATCACAGGACATTATATATGAGAGTCTTAACAGTTCCTTCACCATTTGCTGGTAAACAGGAGTGAGGTTTAGTGCATAAGAATTATATTATGAATACAAAGGTCATATATACAGCTATATAGGTGCAAATTTTATCTCTGCCTTCTATGTTCCATGCACAAAAGCAAGGCTGGTACTTATGCAGTGCACCTTTTGGAGCTAAGGCTCCTGTGAGCTCTGTCGTCGCTGCTAGCTACCTACTCTCCAAAGTGAGGTCGTAAAACACTCTTCGTCCAGGACAGCCTGCCTTCCTATGTCCTCTACCCTCTACCTTGAAGGCTAAGCCTTGTAGACTTGTTTTGGTGCCAGTCTACCTGGTTGTAGATTCCTGGCAATGTGTGAATATAGTAAGACTGTGTGGTGTGGGTCACAGTGCCGACACTACAGGACTGTCTTATCCCATTTGCATGTGAAAAATACGAGGTAGAAAGGCAAAGGCATAACAAACAAATCAACTACACCCAGGACAGCTCTTTTTTCCATGAAAAAAGAAGAGCTGCCCTAGGTGGGATTCGAACTGGTAGGGGTTTCAATCTACAACACAATACAACACAAGGCAAACCTCAACCCACTGTGCTATGGCACGTATGGCACATGTAAGCTTTATTAACGCTCGGCGGGCATGCACAGCGAGGGTTACAGTACTTGGTCTGTGTGTCTGTCTGTTACCACGTTTTCTGCCACCACACGCAACAAACCGGCCAAAAAGCGACACCAACGGGTTCAGCACTACACCGGCTTCATTTTTAAAATGGCGATTTTCGTGAAAGTACTGCGTTCAAAAGTTATGGCGCGAAAACCAAGTGAACAAGCCAATATGCTAATTAGCACAGGCTTACCTCGACCGGGTCCGCTCACTCTGTGTATCTTGAAGGCACAAGAAGTTACAACAAAGGGTGTGTATCGACTCCCGCATGCTATCTACTACTGTAGCTAGTCCGTGTCAGACTCTCCGCGAGCTACTAGCGGGAGACCATGAGTAAACGCATACTAATAGCCCATGCCCAGCCTATTAATTAGCGGTACCAAGCATGCGCAGTTCGCCGAGGGTTTGCACTTTAGTGCTTTTCATTTTAACAGCACAAAAACAAGAGATATGGCCATAATGCTCTATAGCTCTTTTGGTGGGATTCTATTTCCATTCATGCAGGGGTCAACATACCTGGAATATCCCACTCTGAAAAAGAAATGCATACTAACTACTTACAAAATTGTCATAACAGCCGAGAAAGGAACACCATTGCATTACTAGTGGAAACTCTACAAATCTGCATCTGGTCAGATATGTAGCCATACCACCTTCTCATAGGATCGGCATGACCACCCTTTTCGATACAGAGTTACCTCATCTTCCATCCAAACTCAAAACTCTATATGAACCTACGCCATGCATTCATGAAAACTATGCAAGCATTGTGGCATACCATGTGGTAGGGGCGATTCATTCACAATTATTCACCCGTGAAGTATTACTATAACAGTGCATAACTAAAGTGTTCATCGAGCAATGTGATTGTGGGAGGGAAAGCGGTGGAATGTATACATACGTAAGTTATGCATTACATACTCACAACTCTATGGTTTTCTTAACAGATTCTTTGTTGTGGGTAGCCACCATCATCTGTATATTTGAGTCCCTAATTCTTTTCATAATGCATTCCACAGAGTCATTATAGCATTGGTTGGTCTCAGCTTTACTACTCCAAAGTGGGTCAGGTGCTCCCTTCAGCACGGCACCTTCCCTTTCCTGTTCTAAGTAGGCACCTCGAACCAGTTTCACCCCATAGGAAAAACCACTTTTAATGGAATATTCCACATCCATTTTAAGTGTCTCCCTCGCATCCTATAAAAAAAATGATTTTGCACATCACATTACAATTCAGAAAATGACCATCTGTTATAAGAATGTATAATGGAGAACAACTATTGGGTCTCCCGTCTCTGTTATCTGTTATCGGAGGATAAAGGTAAGATCTGATATGTAATAACATGGATTTTTGGATCTACAGGAAGAGATGCGTCATAGTAGCCCAGGTACCCATTAAGGTTTCATTTTTATTGGCGAGCGGGGGCGAGCCAACCTAGTGGTTGCAACAGCCCGAATATCTCAGTCACGAATTCGGCTTCTGTGCACCATCGGCATTTTTTCAGCAACTCTCCTGCACGCATGCGTGATTCTGCCCAAATCGACACATCGCTTTCAATCCCGCACAAACACGCTGTGGCGATCTTTCTTTCTGCCGTTTTACAGACCTACGCACAGCCTCTGTGCCTGCCTTTCAGCCTGCTGAGATATTTATGACATGTCTCACTCAATCCGGACCTTTTTGCTTTTTTTAGAGTACTGAAAGGGTAGATGAAAGCAACATCAAAGCTCCGACTGCCACATCCAAGTGCTGACTGGCCACTTCTGAGGATGCGTGGGTGGTTTTTACGAGATAATGCCACACCTACCGCGCCAAAGTTCACAATTGTGCGAGTTTTATTAACGTTTCTAGAAGTGTGTAAATTTACAACATTTTGTGACCAAAAGGGTTGCCCTATGACACATAGTGTAGGGGTTTAAGCGCTAAATAAACATACAATGAATGAAAAGCACTAAAGTGCAAACCCTCGGCGAACTGCGCATGCGTGGTACCGCTAATCGATGGGTTGGGCTATAATCCTCACTTGTACTTCCTGATGGATGAAGCGCTCGTCCAAATGACCTAAAAATCTTCTGCTTTGGAATCTCTGATGAACCTGGCAGTAGTTCAGTACCACTTTGGATAACGCACTGCTTGAAGGTAGAAGAGGATATGTCTTGGTCATTGTTTGTTAACCAGCATAGTGTTAATTAGTGCTCTCAATGCATTCCCTATGACCATGAACTCGAGAAACATTGTCCTAGTTGCTTGCTAAACTGAATGGCCTCACCATCATATTATGTATAGGCCAGCCAGATTTGCACTTCGTCAAAATGGTTTCAGTGAAGAAAGGAAAGATTTTATCTTCAGATGGCCCAATTGTGGCGTATGTAGATGATGGTACTTGCACTAAAACTGTTCGCACAGATGATTGTGAATTAATTTCTCCATTCCTTAAATGCCAGTCATGTAAAGCTTATTGAGCAAATTTGAGGTGGAGTAAACATCGTGCATGTGATGGAAGTGATACACAAATGACAGGTACCTCACTACCCCTGAGAAAAAAGCAAGAATGGACGGGTTGCGAAAGCGAGTACATGCTGCGGAGGAAGAAGTAAAGAAGCTGAAGGAAAAGGTGACCAAATTGCTTGAACATGGTGAACCTGTGAAAGAATTACACTCAGACGTTTTGAGCATAATGATCATACTGACACCATTAGAAACACCTACCCTTTTGCTATATTATAGACTCTTCTGGGAAGAGCAATTAAAGGCTGCTTGTAAGGATCCACGCCAAGTACGATGGCATCCAGTGTTAATCAAGTGGTGTCTTAATCTTCTTAAACTTGATTAACACTGGATGCCATCGTACTCGGCGTGGATCCTTACAAGCAGCCTTTAATTGCTCTTCCCAGAAGAGTCTATAATATAGCAAAAGTGTTTTCAGGGTAGGTGTTTCTAATGGTGTCAGTATGATCATTATGCTCAAAACGTCTGAGTGTAATTCTTTCACAGGTTCACCATGTGTTAGAGAAAGAGTGAGAATAGCATACGACTGCAGTGGGTGGGAGGGAGAAGAGAGTTGTAACTGTCGTCCCGGTCGGTCGATTCTTGGTCGCTACACGTGGTCTGAGACACCCGTGAATGCGCTGTGGTTACTGTACTGACAGGGTTCCCTCCCGGAGGGGGCCCTCCCACCGACCCGCGGATCATTATTATTTACTTGGTCTAAAAGCTGCGCTTCTAAATATATGTTATGTACTACGTGCGAGGGACTTCAATGAACCCGAGAGCCTCCGCGTTTGTAGTGTCCCGAGCGCAGCGAGGGCACTACGCGGATGGCCGAGGGTTCATTGAAATCCGGTATGTCCCGAGTATACGGAGTACATAACATGTTTAGTGCAGAGCAAATCAGTTCCGTATACGCGCACTGCCGCTTTTCCAAGCACAGGGAATTTGAAAGATGCGAGAAAGAGACGAGAGCGCAAGACCGTCATCTCGTGCGGGACTATTGAACGCCGAACGCTAGGATACGCTGCTCCGCCGCTCTAGCTACTCCCGCTGCGGGACTGTCCTCCGCCACTCATCCGAAGAAACGCGACAGGAGACCTGCGCGAACCATCGCAATCAGAGAGAGGCGAATTCAGGCGCTGCGCGGGCTGCTATAGCGAAGGCGTTCGCCGTAGACTTAGTAGCTTTGTCGCGCGCACTCGCCCGCGGAGCCCCACCCCCTTATTTGTGTGCGGTGGTTTGTGGCGGGCGTGAGCTGCCTAGCGCCTGGCTATCTACTATGTATATACATGGCAAGGAGGGAGATGGGCTCAAAGCAGACACAGAAAACTGTCTCGTGGAAAAAGAAAATCAAGATATCAGTTATTTTGATCAACATTTTGTACAGATCATGTTTTGGGGGATACATTTCTTACATGAAATGCTGTTGAACTTGTTGAAAATCAACAGAAAAAACAAGGTTTCATATCATGTTTTCATGTTACTTTTGTTAGCTCACGAGGTTCATATGAGAAATCAGGAACCTCGTACTAACAAATCTGATTGGTCGATTCGAATCAGCTATGCACTAAACTAATTTATTCCCTGCACCTACACACACCAAACTTACCCATTAGAGCTGGTCCATGAGGTGAGGAGATACCACCAACATAGTGCTGGTGTAGTTGGGCAGAGGCGCTGGGCCAGAAACTCCACCCCCTAATTAGCATTCCTCCTCATGCATGCGCCAAAGTGGCATGGTGGCGCGGGATAGGAAGGGGGGTTTACGGAGAGGGGAAAACCCCGATCCCGGACCAAGGAAGGCGTAGCCATACCCCCCAAACACACGCCCCACCCTCCCTCTGTTATAATTATTGCTTTTAGGGACAAAACCTTATGACTTCACGACGACAAAAGACAAGAATATTGTGCTAGCTGGTCCCTAGGAATGCGCACATAGTCTAGGTATGCAAGGCTCCTCCATCAGCCGAGAGTCTTAATCACTGAATCTTCCATCCCTTTGGCTGCTGCAGTTGTGGCCGCCCCGATGCGGAAACTGTGGGCACAATATCTTGATTGATCGTTACCTGCCTGTTGCAGGGCTTTGCGTACTTCCTCCACAAATCTCTGATGTGTCAGGAGCCGACCATCTTCAAATCTAAACAGAGGACCCTCCTGCGTGCCTCTTATCACCAGGTACTTGAGAAGTGCGTTTACCGGATAGAGATCTGTGTTAGTCTTACCCATGAACATGTCCACTCCATTTCGAAAGGGGTCTGTCTTCAATTGTTTAATTGTGACCTTGATCACTGCAGGTGACCATGGGTCATCCACGGCCACACCACTAAAGTTGAGATGTACACTACGGGTCATAGGGTGAGTCACTGGGGACTGTCATTTCCCCCGCTCTCAATAACCCAAAAAGGCCAGAAAACATGCTGCCCAGAGCATTATGATGTCAGGGGTTGGTGCTGTTGCCTCCCAGCTGGCCTTTATTCGTCGTAGTGTGTTTGGGGAGATTGGAAGCCTCTCTCTCTTCTCTGCACCTTTTTCTGCTTCACACCTTTTTACTCCCCGCAAAATGTACTTGAGGCACGGCAAGGCTGGCTGGAAGGGGTCCGATTCCCCCTCTGCTATGTGAAGGTGACGAACTGCAGAAAGGTACACTTTGATTGTTCTATGCTTGAGGCCTTCCATGCCCAGAAAGGAGACAAAGCAGCAAAGTACTGCCTCCGACGCTGGCACAGGTTTCAACTTTGCCCGGTTGCAAAAGGTCGAGTACTGGTTCTGGCCGGCCCGGTATGATCGCTGCGTTGAATCAGCCAAGCCCTTGGAGAAATACTTTCGAGCAGTTTCATCCAGTTCACAGATGTCCAATCTGGCTGCCGGTGGACCAGAACACCTACCAGTTCTGGGGGTAACGCCGTGGCAGCTGGTTTTGCACCCTGAACCTGGGAGACAAACGATGAGCAATTGTTACGGGAGAGAGCATCAGCAGCCCCATTTTGCACCCCCGGGATATGTTCTCCTACTATGGTTATATTGTTGGCTGCTGCCAGGAAGAACAAACTCTTCATCAAGTGCATAACCTGCTCGTTCTTGCTAGTGCCTGACCCCAATATTGCCACTACTGCTGCATTGTCACAGAGACAGTGTATTGACTTCCCTTGCCACATCCTGCCCCACAGGGCTATGCCAACCACCACTGGCAGTAGCTCCTTTACTGTGATGTGAAAATCCCGCCGGACTCCGGCCACTCCAGTTGGAACCACTCTCCAAAAGATGGGAAGGCTCCACACCCCCACGAACCAGATGCATCTGAGGTGATTATAGCAGCAAAGCCACACCGGGAAAACGCAGACATCATTCCCGTTCCATTCCATGTTGGAAGGAAAAGGCCCACCATCGCAGATCCGACCTGAAACCTCTGGTTTAGGCAAATTCGATGGTGTAATTCTCTAGCCACCGTAGACAGGGTAATCATACGGCGGACAAAAGACCTCCCAGGCTTTACGATGCAGCATGCATGTTGCAGCAGACTGATCAGAGACAGAAGCTCCCTCTTGGTGCAGTCCCGCTTCACAGCCAAAGACCCTAATTTCAGCTTTCAAGCGGTGAAGTTTCTCTGCTGGCAGTCGCATCTGCCCTTTAGTAGCATCCAGTTCAATACCTAGGAACACTAACCTTGCTGTAGGGCCCTCAGTCTTATGGCATGCAATCGGAACGCCAAATGTGGCACAGTGAGAGAATGATAGCGCCAGAGCCTGTTCACACTCTCCGGACTCTGCTTTTCCAACGAGGAAAAAATCATCGAGGTAATGCAGCACTGTCACGCCTCGGGTTGAGAGTTCCCATGAAAGTGCGCCTGCCAGCGAGTTCAAAATCGTTGGGGCTGAGCGTAAAAAAAGGGAGAGCTGTGTCGATGTACAACGGCCCCTTCCATCTCATACCCAACAGTACTCTGTCTTCAGGATGCACTGGCAGCAAAGTCAAAGCTCTACACCAGACCGCCAGACTACTCGCGCTTCGCTAACCGCGAGAGGGTCGTCGCGCTCGCGCAGCCGTGCTTAGCGTGCGTTTTAAAAAGCCGAAGAGCGCTTGTCCCACGTCACGCGCGGGACCGGGCTTCCAGGAGGCGGCGTCTAGCCCCTGAGATAGCCCAAGAGAGTGGAAAACGTGCCTGTCTCGATGCCGCCGGGCACGACACCCAAGGCGCACAGCGTGCAACTAAATCAAGGGAGGCAACCTACTGGTCAGCACTAGCTACATGTACCAGGATCGAACAAATCGACCTTTCTCAGCATGTGCAACTTTCTACATCCCATATCGTCCATTTCTTTGGACCACTTTCTAAACCAGGCTGACAACACAGGCTCATGTGATCAGCTCTGCTCCCAATTGGGTCGCTCCCACTCGCCAAACAATGTTCAACATTTTCCTAGGAGTGGTGTCCGCCCATACCCAGTTATTAACCCTCGGCGTGCATGTGCAGCGAGGGTTACTGTAGCTTACCTCGAGCGGGTCCCCTTGCTCTGTGTATCTTGAAGGCACAAGAAGTCACAACGAAGGGCGTGTATCGACTCCCACATGTTATCTACTGCTGTAGCAGCTCGAGTCAGGCTTTCCGCGATCTATATACTAGCGGGAGACCACGACTAAACGGATACTAATAGTCCAGCCCATCAATTAGCTGTACCACGCACGCGCAGTTTGCCGAGAGTTTGCACTTCAGTGCTTTTTCATTAACTATGCAATACTCATGTTAGATGAGGCAGAAGAATGGGAGTGACCTGAATGCCAGGCCCTCTTTGATGAAAGCCAGCTTCTAGCATAGGTAACACACCCACGCTGAAGACAGGGATCATCTCCCCCTTGTGCGCTTTCTCTCTGGCACTGTTTCTGTGCATGCACCTCACTGGCTGTAGCTCAGATCTGTTTTTCCTGTCACTGCCTGTGTGCATGCAATCTTTAATCCACCACTAAGATACATCCCACTCTCCTTTACCCTCATCAATTACACACAGTGGTAATCACCTGCAACTAGTATGCATAGTTGTGCCTCAGCAACAAGAGAAAACTTGCACAAGCACACTATAGGGAGTGTATATGCATGTATTATGCAATACCTTTGCTGTACACTAATGACATAGGCAGGCATACTCCTTAGGCTAAGAGGCAGGGACACAGCACAACAGTCTCAGCTATGCACTACTGACAGATGATGCTAAAATGGAAAGCTATTGTTAGTGGTTTGGGCATTGCTGTGGAACTATACTGGGTGCACATATTTCTGATTGCAGAAGCAGAAAACAAACCAATAGAAGGCATGAGCTCTTGCTAATTATGGAGCGATTGAATATCTAATTATGTAGTGCCGATGGAGTATTCCAGATACTTAGAGGGGTGTTAAAAATATAGGGATTGATAAGGTTGCTACCATGTTTTTGGCTTTTTCTATACTGTTCCAGTCCCATCCGAAAGGAGCTAAGAGTTAGTCATGGTTTCTAGGATATCTAAATAGCTCATACATATCCACCGGCCCATGTCTTTCTATAAAGTTCTTCATTGTAGTCAATATAATCTTGACTCTAGATAAGAAGACAGTTCTATTAAGAATTACGTACCTTTAGATAACACTGGATGGTGTTGAAGATGAGGGGGCGCTCTCGATTGTACTTGGGCATAAGCACATGAACAACAATGTGTCGTATGGCAGGTTGGAAGTAGGTTTGCTCTGCATCAACCATTAGTCGAACATTCCTTTCTTCAGCACACTGGATAGAAAGTGTGGATCTTTAACATAATGATTGAACAGTGGATACATAGGTCTTGTCAACAGTGAACAGACTCCTGGCCACATGCACCCCTGCGGTTCACTAAACTTTGTGGAAACTTTAATCAGTCATGCCTTGGCTTAAACATCTGCATGAGCACACATAACAGGTTGCATCTTCACTCTATATGCTCACTAAAGTAGAAACTGTCAGTGCAGAACTTTGTTCCTGCAGCGATTATCACTGAAGCAATAAAAGTGTGCAATATAAGAATGCCATAAAAAGCAAGGAGACAAGACAGGGATGACCTAGTGCATGTGATGCATTAGTACAATCGGATGATCGTTACCTCTTCAAACTGACATTGCTTGCTCGTGTAAATTTTCCTACACACAAGCCCTATACTGTCGCGAAGCATAAGTGTGCTCCCTCATAGAATGACTCATTTCCTAAGCACCTAATGCACAGGTGTTTCCCACTCTAACAGCTCCTAGGTTTCTGGTTGTGACTGCATTGTGTGCAGTCAAAGACTTCCATGTTCGCTCAACTAACGATGAGTTTTACATTGCTGCGTTCGTGGCCCTCCACAGAATCCCTTTACCATTGTCCTCACACTAAACAAATTCATGTTGTGAGTAAAAGTGCCGACAATATATAGGGATTGTGTGGAGGAAAATTGAATAATTTGTTATATACTTGTCTCCTTTCCTTCTTTTATGGCATGCACATGCATTGGGGCACAATGCCCATACAAAAAGTAACAAGGGTTAACTATGCACTAACCTCAGCAATTGTATGTACTCTTTGAAAAACACTCTGCATTTGTTTTAGATCATCATCTTCCATTACAGTAAGAGTACCAAAGCCCTGCAATCAGTGCAATAATGACTTGCATAACACGTAAGTGGCTATAACGAAAACTACATTAGTCAACTCCCAAATGAATTTTCAACTCTACTGCAAAAATTTGATAAATAAGGTTGGAAACAAAAACGAACAGCTTCATTAGGATATGACCGGAGGACAAATAGCACTGACGTGTTCCTCCCTAAAATATAAGCATATCATAACACTACTCCCTAGGTATGTGGATGAAGTTCTAATTCCCTTCGACGGGTGTTATCCTTGTCTGACTTGCTCTTTAAAGATCTAAATCTGATGTCACCCTGGCTGACCACTCAAGTATTATAACAGAGTATGTCCTAATTATGCCTCACTGCCCCTTGTTTTTAATTCCATGGCATGTTTTACAATCCGTTTTTTCATAAAACCATGTGTTCAGCAGTTTTGGTGCACTTTTTACAACACATACTGGCCATGTCATCATTTCCACCACTAGAAATGAAATGTTGTTTGCTCCCCAAGAACGAGTGTCATAGTTGACATGCCTCTAGCGTTTGTTGTGCTGTCATGTGTCCGTAGTGCCAGCAGTAACATATGACATGTGGGTATGTAAAGAAAAAGGGGTGGTCTTCCATAGGTCAGTGCTGGGTACAGAAGGCACTCAGGCTATAGCTTTTGTATCAGCAAGGAGGGTGGAATAATTTCATATCTGCCTAAAGTGCAAACCAATGTTGTGATATTGAACATGCTACAAAGGTTTTTTTATGGTATGGTAGGCATCTCCTTACTCCTACATTCATGTCAGAGGAGCTGTAACAATTAGCAATCCCATTGTCTAGGATATAACACTGCTTAAAAGCACAAAAAACATAACACACATGCCTCACATAATAACGGTCAGAGTTAATATCAAACTGTTAGGTATAAGTATACCTTCTGTGCCTGAAAATATTTATACAGGTCATTTCCAGGTTGAAATCTGTTAATCCAGTCGTAGACGCTTATTGTTCTGAAATAATATGCACCAATACATCAAAGTCAAACTATAAACCGGAAACGTACATTTATGAGGATGGTATACAAGGGAAGGAGAGATGACTAGTGTATGAGATGCAGTGACACATTAGATAGGGTTATGTACACACGTGTGACTTGCTCATGTGCGTTTTCACTACACAAGAGGCACACACTCTCTACAATAAAGCATCAGAAAACCATGAGAGAAAATATAGCAACTATGCAGTCACACAATGTACCACAGTCAAAGTGCTGGCAGAGTGATCCATAATGCTGGCAAAGTGTTAAGAACTGCAGTCTCATATATTACATACTCACACAGTCGCAAAATCCTGCTTGACATACTAAAACAGATATAGACCACATTTTTGCAATCACATTTCAGCAGGGAGCACACAAGCAACATATAACGCTAGTGTGGCAGAAAGCAAGATACATGTAGGTGTGTATGGTGGTATGTGTATGGTATGGTATGTATTATCTCTGTACATGTCAAGTGAAGCCCCAGCAGCCCTTCTCACACTTCTTTCTCTTCCTTCTTTCTATATAGTATGTAAGTAAAGCGTGAGCTGTTATTTTACATGGATCCCTCGGCAAATCCCTCGGCAAGTGTACCACCGCAGCACCAGTAATTTTTCCCACATGTATATTCCCTAGATTTAGGTATTATTTTGTGGCATGCCTACATCAATATGGTCAGGTATATACCTCCCTGAGTACTGCTGTCAGCTTTTTAGAAGTGCATTCGGAACAACTACACAAATTCATACGTATGTAACGTAGTCTGTACATACCTTTTATGATCAGTGTCAATCTTCCTGTACAGATCATCAGCCTCAGACTGAGATACCATTATCTAAGCACAGAATCAAACATGCACATATAAACTGCATAAACATCTTCGACTAGTTTGTTAATTACTTTTCACAGTCCCCCCCCACATGTTTATACCATATCTTACACTTTTAGCTCTCAGACCACTATGGAAGGACTGCGGCGTAACTTGAGCAGTACAAATGTCATTACCATCTGCAAGGTCTAAGAACATGTGTCGAGTTCCTTCCACCACTTCGCTCAACTTCAGCTAAAAGAAAAATTTTTTTCAGATCATCAATCAATGCATTTATGGAAAATAGGTGAGCAAACAAAGCAAGTCATATACATAATGTTTGTGCATAGGCATTGTCTAGTGGCAGAGAGACATCTGTTTGCGTTACTTCAGACGACCAGGTGCGTCACTTCGCTCGATAAAACTAAATGTTGTATATACTCACCAGCACTATAATTCACAAATGGTATTTTAATTGCTTAAACAAATTAGTTAGAGCTGTTCTTTACTGCACCACTGCTGAACTACTTTTGTACAGTCCAGAGCAGAAGAAGGTAGGTGATGTTTTGACATAGCTAAATATATATGTTGTAGCTGGACAAGAGTAAGGAGACTACAATTGCCGTCTAGGAAGCCTCGTAATGTTCAGAATAATACTAGGGGAGAAGATGTGAATGTCTGGTGGAAGAGGTAGAGTTTACAAGTGAAAAAATCATTTCAAAGATATAGGGAAGGCTTGAAGCACCAAAAAGGAAGAAACAAGGGGTCATTACACAGCAAAGACGAACAAAGCTACTTGACACCATCCCTATATCTTTGTTTCATATTAAAGGAAGATGTGCTTAGGTTGAAACAGAAGTAGTTATGCTTGAGGACATCAATGCTAGAGTAGATATATGGTCCTCTGATGTGGACGATGTTATTTGGCTGTTTGGGGAAGAGACGTGTAATACAAGTGTGAATAGGCTGATTCATTCTTGAATGAAAGGCACTGAAGTGCAAACCCTCGGCGAACTGTGCATGCGCAGTACCGGTAGATAGCATGCGGGAGTCAATACACACCTTTCGCTATGACTTCTTGTGCCTTCAAGATACACAGAGCAAGCAGACCAGGTCAAGGTAAGCCTGTGCTAATTAGCATATTGGCTTGTTCACTTGGTTTTCACACCATAACTTTAGAACAAAGTTTTTAAAATGAAGCCGGTGTAGCGCTGAACCCCTTGGTGTCTCTTTTTGGCCGGATTGTTGCATGGTGGCAGAAAATGTGGTAACAGAAAAACACACAGACAGACCAAGTACTGCAACCCTCACTGTGCGCGCCGAGAGTTAATGAGGCGGAGCTGGTAATATGTTATGGGAGGCACCTAGTGTCTAAGCCTGAGTTGGCTAGGGTTACAGAAGCCTTGGGCAAGAGTCAGTGATAAATTACGTGGTTGTGGGGATGTGCAGGTTGATACTACTGATGTTGGACCTTCGGTTCATTATCTGGTGTAGATAAAGCGGGGCAGAGTAACCAAGCATGAAAGGAAGCACAGGCGTACTATAAGGTGGCGCATTGGTGCAGCATCTGGATCAGGGTTAGGCTTCAGGCAGGCTTCAAGGTAAATTGGGGATGTGTAAATAACACCTATATATACGTTTGTGAAGGGTAGACCGAAGGAGGGGGATAGGACATGCAGAAAGCAGTGTGGTGCAATGGTGTGTGCTTGGGATTGTTTTGGGAGCTTGGTGTAAGAGGGAAGACGTGGAGGCGGCTTGGCTTGCTAACACGAAAGTAGGCAGGGCCGCTCAGCGCTTCTAGCGTGCGCGTCTGGCTCGAGCTGTAGCTAGGGCCCTGTAGTCATGCACTGCTTCCTATTAGATCCCGGTGATTTGAAATCGAGCAATTTCATTGGTCCAAACGCGGGATCTATTTTCCGTAGATCCCGCTGCCCCGGACGACGGGATCTATTGGGGAGCGAGCGTGAAGACGCGATAAGTAAGAGACTCGAGCGAGGTTTCAGCTACCAGCGGCGAGCCAGAAACGGTAGGCGAAAGCTACAGCATTCCCTGGTCGTCCGCCGCGTTTCGCGGAAAAGGGCTCCGCCCACTCTACGCGCACAGAGCGTTCGAGGATTGGCTCGCGGCGAGCATGAGTATGTCGAGTTCCTTCTCGGAGTCTTCCTCGTCTAGACAAGATAGTAACAGCTCGCCTGGCGCGGCCATATCTTCGCAAACAGTTTGAATGGATCTAAACCGGTTAGACGCGTCGCCGCGGTAACTACGCGTGGTAGAGTGCCTCGGGCTCCCTAGTAGCGCCCTCGCTGCGCTCGGGACGCCGACAGCTCGGGAGCCCTTGGCACTCTACCACGCGTAGTCACCTCGGCTCCGCATCTAACCTATATTTAGAAGACCGAGTACCTGGTTTTTCGTGAGAAGAACCTCTCCCGAAGCTCTGTTTGCCTTCCGCTCGCAAAGCGCCTCTCCGTGGTTGCCATGGCAAACACGCATAGAAAAGTGCCGCTGGCGGCCCGCGAAAGAGTTATCACGGAAGAGGTAACTAACATAATAGTATACTATGTAACAGCCAATCCTCGAACGCTCTGTGCGCGTAGAGTGGGCGGAGCCCTTTTCCGCGAAACGCGGCGGACGACCAGGGAATGCTGTAGCTTTCGCCTACCGTTTCTGGCTCGCCGCTGGTAGCTGAAACCTCGCTCGAGTCTCTTACTTATCGCGTCTTCACGCTCGCTCCCCAATAGATCCCGTCGTCCGGGGCAGCGGGATCTACGGAAAATAGATCCCGCGTTTGGACCAATGAAATTGCTCGATTTCAAATCACCGGGATCTAAATATAGGTTAGATGCGGAGCCGAGGTGACTACGCGTGGTAGAGTGCCAAGGGCTCCCGAGCTGTCGGCGTCCCGAGCGCAGCGAGGGCGCTACTAGGGAGCCCGAGGCACTCTACCACGCGTAGTTACCGCGGCGACGCGTCTAACCGGTTTAGATCCATTCAAACTGTTTGCGAAGATATGGCCGCGCCAGGCGAGCTGTTACTATCTTGTCTAGACGAGGAAGACTCCGAGAAGGAACTCGACATACTCATGCTCGCCGCGAGCCAATCCTCGAACGCTCTGTGCGCGTAGAGTGGGCGGAGCCCTTTTCCGCGAAACGCGGCGGACGACCAGGGAATGCTGTAGCTTTCGCCTACCGTTTCTGGCTTGCCGCTGGTAGCTGAAACCTCGCTCGAGTCTCTTACTTATCGCGTCTTCACGCTCGCTCCCCAATAGATCCCGTCGTCCGGGGCAGCGGGATCTACGGAAAATAGATCCCGCGTTTGGACCAATGAAATTGCTCGATTTCAAATCACCGGGATCTAAATATAGGTTAGATGCGGAGCCGAGGTGACTACGCGTGGTAGAGTGCCAAGGGCTCCCTAGTAGCGCCCTCGCTGCGCTCGGGACGCCGACAGCTCGGGAGCCCTTGGCACTCTACCACGCGTAGTCACCTCGGCTCCGCATCTAACCTATATTTAGAAGACCGAGTACCTGGTTTTTCGTGAGAAGAACCTCTCCCGAAGCTCTGTTTGCCTTCCGCTCGCAAAGCGCCTCTCCGTGGTTGCCATGGCAAACACGCATAGAAAAGTGCCGCTGGCGGCCCGCGAAAGAGTTATCACGGAAGAGGTAACTAACATAATAGTATACTATGTAACAGCCAATACATTTGATCCATATTTAACTATTTCACCGTGGAAAATTGAAATACCCCCCGAAAATTTAAATTCCCCAGAAAATCGACCAATCAAATCAAGTGACTAGGAAATCAATGTGAAATACTTCATACAAGTTACAGCTCCAGAAACAAGTGTCGCGAAATATCTTGTGAGCATGACTATAGCTAATCTATATAACACACTGATCACTATACACAGCACTATACTATTAACATGTGATAGTGCAGTTTGGTGTGGTATTAGGGGATTAATAGTGATGGAATTTTTAAAAATAGTATTCGGCTTCGCCTCATACTATTTAAAAAAATTCCATCCCTATTAATCCCTAATACCACACCAAACTGCACTATTACCTATACAAATAGTTACCTCTACTCAGAATCTGATTGGTCAACTGTGTGTTACCATAGTCTAAGATAGGGAAGGTTTTTCATCATCTTCTTCTCGATTCAACACGCATAACTCAAAAACGAAACAATAATTATAGTACTGAAATTTTGTAAGAATGTAGATATCCGTCACCGAAGAGACTGGTCATACTTATTCGTATAGAGATGAAACTTGGTACACATGAACATTACATCATTTCCATGTCAAAGACATGTTTCCATGACGACCTTGAACAATAAACAACCTCAGGCACTTCTCTTCAAACTTGCTTACGGCAGAACACATGGAAATGAAACTTGGTACACATACATATTACATCATTTCCATGACAGCTACATGTTTCCATGTTTGAACGACGACAAATAGCCTTACTCTTCAAACTTGCTTGCATGTGGTACGCATGCGTATTACATCATTTCCATGACAACAAAAATAATCAGCAGTATAAAAGTAGAAATGTTACTAAAAACAACGGGGGCACGGTGAAAGAATGCTTGCTTTTAGTAACCTTCAGCCCTTATATAATGCCACATTACCTCTAAAAGTAGCACACCAGGCAACAATATTGGGATTGTGTAATGGGGTTGGGGGTGTCAGCGTGCTCAATTCTGTTCATTAACCATGCTTGTGATTTTGATGTTGGTTTTATTTACTTGTAGTACTGTCAGTGGCGGATTCAGGGGGGTTTCTTGGGTTCCGCAGAACCCCCCTTTTTATCCTTTTGCATGTATGCGTCGCCGGCTTCGTGAGCGCGCACAAGCGCAGGCAAAACGTTCTTGGACAGCGGAACCCCCCTCCCTTTCAAAATGCTACATCCGCCACTGACTGTTGCCTATGAAGATCCAAGTGCTCAGAAGCATGTTTATCGTTGAATGGTTTAATTTTCGACAAAATTAACACACTTAGCTGATCACTAAGTACGGTAGTACTTAGTATATAGGGATGACACAGGTTGTCCTGCATTATGCCCATACATTTGAGATTTTCATTTTCACTTTCAATTTCATTCAGATCCAACTTTTGACACACCAGACTAATCCGTACCATCAGAAACAGCATGTATCCAAGAAATGGCTTAAATCGCATAATCGGTATATACTAATTGATTTATTCAAAAAAGTCACTTCAAGGGCTTGTGTGGAGGAAAATTTACATGAGCAAGCAATGTCAGTTTGAAGATGTAACCATCATCCATTGTACTAATGCATCACATACACTAGGTCATCCCTGTCTTGTCTCCTTGCTTTTTATGGCATCCCTATATTCCACACTTTTTAAATTTGAAGAATTACTTGTCATAAATGTATCGGGCTATGATAAGGAGTTTGGTCTTTCTCCTTCTTCAGATTCGACATCCATAACTCAAAAACGAAAAAACATAAATAGTTATAAAAATGTCTATTAATGTACATATCCATAACCAGATGGGCGTGGTTGTACTTATTTTGTTTCTAAACAGTGTGGTCTACTGTAAACAACAAATAACCCCAGGCAATACATAATAAAGGGCACTCATGTGTTAGTGTTAACTCAAGAGCTAAGTACGTAGTTTGAATACATAATAAAAGCACTAAAGTGCAAACCTTCGGCATGAAGTCAATCAGTGTTGTCAATCACGAAGTTTGAACAATGTAGAGTAGAGGTATGTAATTTTGCATTATAGCTAAGTAACTAAGGGTAGACTATTATAGTGTAATTCATCATGTGCATTGCACAACAGGCAGTTGCTACCAATATTTTAACATCATTGCACAACACATGTCATAGAAAAGCAACATTATTATTATTATTATTTTTTTTCAGCTTTACAACACAGATTGCAATAAGGAGAGTACATCAGAAATGTGAGAGTGATAAATATAATAACTGTGTTGAAGGACAACTGGCATAGAGCCAGCAGCCAGACAAAAACGTAAGACACAAAAAAAAAGCAACTGGGAGCGGACCAGAGAAGTATACAAGGAGCACTTGGCCGACACAGAGACAGAGCCAGAGAAAACTCTGCGCAGTAGTCCTAGCACTTTGTATGCTCTGGAGGTAATGGATTGATAGTGAGGTCGCCAGTTAAAATCGGACGAAACAATTAGACCCAGGTCCTTTTCCATAGCTTTAGAAGGTATTTGTTGACCACTCAAGTCATAGTTAAGTGTAGTAGACATACGAGGCATGTAATGAACAGTGGAGCACTTTTTCTCATTCAAAAACAGGTTCCATGTTTTGCACCACTCTAAGACTCTGGATAGGTCACTTTGGAGATGGATACAATCTTGCAGAGAGGAAATGGGCATGATACACTTGGCATCATCGGCAAAAAGTAAAACTTTGGAAAACGACAGAGTGGTGGGCAAATCATTCACAAAAATGAGAAACAAGAGTGGACCGAGAACACTGCCTTGCGGCACCCCAGAGAGAACAGGTAAAGTTGTTGAGGAAGATTTACCAATAGACACATACTGGACTCTATTGGTCAGGTAAGCTCTCACCCATAACCAGAGAGTTCCGGTGATGCCAAAGTTCCAGAGCTTATAGAGGAGCTCATTATGAGCCACAGAATCGAAGGCCTTTCTAAAATCCAAATATATAACATATTTTTTAGAGGAAGAGCTGAGTATAGTGTTAAAGAAAATCAGTAACTGTTGCAGAGTAGAACGCCCGCGTAAGAATCCAAACTGATAGACAGAGATATAGTTGTTATGAAATCCACAGTACTGTTGTAGACAAGTTTCTCCAGAACCTTTGAAACAACGGACAGCAGAGAGATCGGTCTATAGTTCCTAACAGAATTCTTATCACCAGATTTGAAAATTGGTTTTATTAAATGAGTGCGCCATTCGATAGGGAGATAACTCTGAGATATACTCAGGGAAAACAGATGGTGGAAAGGTTGGTAGAGAGCTAGAGCACAATGTTTTAGTATCTTTGGACTAATACCATCACATCCCATGGCCTTTGAGACATCAAGGGATCTGAGGACACGGAACACGTCCAATTCACTAAAGTTTATATCGCTGAGAGAAGATGTGGGCATTTTCAATTCACTGAAAGATGGTAACTGAAAGGTACTTCTGGTGAATACTGAATAAAAGTATTGGTTAAACAAGGATGCCTTATCGAGATCCGAAACAGCAACGGTGTCGTCTAGATAGAGAGAGCAAGGCAAAACATTTTGATTTGAAATTGAACGAATGTAAGAGTAAATAGCGGAAGAATTGGAAAACTGGTGGGACTCAATCAATTTAGTTTCATAATCAGACTTAGCTTGCGTAAGTTTGAGTTGAAGACGATTTTCCATACATTGAATCTCACTTTTCCTTTGCAGAGTGGGTCGCGTTTTGAACTTTCTTTTCAATGTTCGAAGGCTTACGTTTTTGTCTGGCTGCTGGCTCTATGCCAGTTGTCCTTCAACACAGTTATTATATTTATCACTCTCACATTTCTGATGTACTCTCCTTATTGCAATCTGTGTTGTAAAGCTGAAAAATAATAATAATAATAATAATGTTGCTTTTCTATGACATGTGTTGTGCAATGATGTTAAAAAATTTGTAGCAACTGCCTGTTGTGCAATGCACATGATGAATTACACTATAATAGTCTACCCTTAGTTACTTAGCTATAATGCAAAATTACATACCTCTACTCTACATTGTTCAAACTTCGTGATTGACAACACTGATTGACTTCATGCCGAAGGTTTGCACTTTAGTGCTTTTATTATATATTCAAACTACGTACTTAGCTCTTTGGTCCTTGGCGCCGCTTAACTATGACATGACTATGACATTATGTCATCATTATGTCATAGAAAAGCATGTGCATGCGCGGTACCGCTAATTGATGGGTTAGGCTATAATAGTATGCGTTTACTCGTGGTCTCCCGCTAGTAGCTCACGGAGAGTCTGACACGGGCTAGCTACATTAGTAGATAGAATGCAGGAGTCGATACACGTTGTTTGTTGTGACTTCTTGTGCCACAAACATCCACAGAACAAGCGCACCCGGTCGAGGTAATTAGCAAATTGGCTTGTTCACTTGGTTTTCACGTCATAACTTCTGAATGCGGCACTTTAACGAAAATCGCCATTCTAAAAATAAAGCCAATGCAGCGCTGAACCCATTGGTGTTGCTTTTTTACCTGTTTGTTGCGCATGGTGGCAGAAAACGTGGTAACAGACAGACAGACTGACCAAGTATATACTGTAACCCCCGCTGAGCATGCACGCTGAGGGTTAATAACCAGAATCAAGAAACACAATAATACATGTTTGCAAACAGCAAATAGCTTCAGGCACTTTTCTTTCAAATTACTTCTACACTCCTCAAACTTTCTGACGGTAGCATGCATGGTGATCAAAGTTGGTACTCATAGTGTATTGCATCATTTTTCTGTGACCACATACTATTGCCCAATGATTAAATTTACTTCTTCAGTCCTCAAAATATTTGCTAACGTAAGCACTGCATGGAGATGAAACTTGGTACGCATGCATCATTTCCATGATGACCACATGTTTTTAAACAACAAAAATAGCCACAGGTAGTTTTCTCTATTTTTATTGCATTACGAACAGAAGGAAAAGTGTCATTCTCATGAGTAACCAACACCATTATAGAGTGCAAATGGAAGTTAAGATGGCACATTAGGCAACAATATCGGGATTGTGTGATGGGGTCGGGGGTGTCAGCATGCTTCATGTATCCCATCCCTATACTATTCCTATATTACTCTTGGTATTAAATTTTTATTTACTGTCAGTAAAAGTTCTGTGCTGTGTTTTTGTGAAGGAGTCGGTTGACCTTCCTAGAGTGTTGTAGTATTACTTAGGGGTTGATGTTTCTAGTGCGTGGGATGTATTATTTTCCCTATATTGTCTTCCTTGTAACAGTTCTATATTCCTCTCATTAACACTCGGCGCGCATGCGCAGCGAGGGTTACTGTAGTTGGTTTGTGTGTGTGTGTCCGCGACTATTCTCGCACTACAGGCTACGAGGCGGCTTAAGAGCGATACCAAACGCTTCAGTGCCACCCGAGTCTGAAAAATTCCTGAAACGACTGCGTCCGAGAGCGACAAACTGGCACGGTCGCGGACGGAGTTCCGTGGCCCAACCCATCATTAAGCGGTGCGCATGCATATAGACGCGATCAACGCGGTATGCTGGCTCCACCTCGACCTGATCCGCCTGCTCTGTGTACCTTGGAGGCACAAGAAGCCACAGCGAAGGGCGTGTATCGACTCCCGCATGCTATCTACTACCGTAGCTAGCCCGTGTCAGATTCTCCGCGAGCTACTAGCGGGAGACCGCGGGTGAACGCCAATAGGGCTAGCCCAGCCCATCCATTAGCGATAACGCTCATGCGCAGTTCGCCGAGGGTTTGCACTTCAGTGCTTTTCATTTACTGTAAGTAAAAGTTCTGTGCTGTGAACAAATATTTACCATAAGATAATGTGTGAGTGAAGCAAGCCTACATAATCGTCTGGATGTGGGGATTATCTATTTGTAAACGGGTTGCACATGTACATACAATTATGTTCAACATGATTCTAAATAGGCACGCAAGTTTGTAATATGTAATGTACATCACCAAACCGCAAAAAAGGGCGTTGTTTGTTCAGTAATCAACATTGTTTATGGTGAACCCTTCAGGTTAGGGTTGTTAAAATTTCATTAGTTTGTTTTTCTGTTTTTTGAGTTACATGAATTCTAAGAGAAGATGCCCCTATCATAACCTGATGTTAGGTATCATGTTTATCCCTAATTTACTTGTACTTAGGGATATATAGAGGATCTATTTCCACACCTACTACACTGATACCAGCAAGTGAGTCGGTTTAATAAAAGTGACGTCAAAACTAGAGTGATGCCACATCAACTCACAAGAAACTCAACTCTCCCAAGTCCTGTTAGCTTAATTGCTGCAAAAGCTGCATCTCCTTCCACAGTTGTATCAGCTAAAACGAAAAAGTTGTGTATTAAAGAGCATTTACATTTGCACTAAGTGTATTGCATGCATAGAATAGACGAATGAGCAAGGACACGTGGACTGGTCATAAGGATGACATCAATCATGTCATCAGTATGGATCCCCAGAGGGGTCTGGATGCTAGATGCCACCCCTTCCAGGGGTTTCTTTTACACTGGCAGGATACTTAAAAGATAGCGAAAGCCTAATCACCAAGTGGAGGGCTAGTGGGTTGTTGTTTTCATGGTGTGAGGTGTGATGGGCCTGGAATCTCTATAGTACGCAAATGCTTGCCAGGGTCATCGGGATGTATTCAGAAAAGCCTCTTATTTTTCCTGCTGGCTTTACCATTATCCCGAGGCAACTACCAATTTTCTAATCCCCTTCTATTTTTCTGCTCCTTCCCTTGTCCAAGTTGTGGCCTAAGGCCCTATGGTCCAAAGTGATTCTGTTCTTGTCTCAGACCACCTCACCTAAATCCCCTGAATGCATAATCTGTAGCAGTTGTGATACATAGTTCTGGGACGTTAAAAAATGGGCGGTATATCTGTTACTTCAGCTGACACGCAAGTGCATCTTCTGAGCTGTCAAAGCCACTACATTCACTAGCAGGCGGCAGAAAAAGTGCTTTATGCTGTGAGGTTTCACACAAAGCTGTACCTAGTTTCAGTTTCACTCCCAAAACGAAAGTGGCAACAATACACAAAGGTAAATGTGTCTAGGTATCAAATAAAGAGAGACTTTTCTAATAGAGTAATTTACTACCTGCCATATTAACACATGATAGAAAGTTTTTCATCACATCATCGCACTTTTTCTCAGTATCATAAAAATATGTTCGTGCACTAGCACGAACAGTTCGGTCAGCATGTGTTATAGTGGGCTTTAACTGAGGAAAGTGCTCATAGTCGGACGATGTTAGAGAAGAATGTGCGAGATGACTCGCTGCATTGCTCCTAAATGGAACACAAAAAATATTGATAACACTTTGGAGGTTGAATTATAGCATCCCAGTGATGTGGCTAATGTTTGATGCCTTACTCCAACTTTATGTGTACTACCATGTATTGTATAATGATAGTGTCAGGAGTGTGTGCACGCTAACAATGTGCACATGCAGTAAACATCCAACTCAGGTCAGGACAGAAGCCCCTGTTGGCAACGTTAAATTTAGCAAAGGCAAGGTTGGAAGCATCCCACACCATCTTCAGTTATTGCCCCTCGCAGAGCCTCTTCCCTTTACATACCTTTACTTCCCATGAGCACCCAGGCTAGCGCCACAAAACTTTGCTTACCTTGTTTCTAAAACCACGTTTTCATTAGGAGTATCTTCTTCAACTGCATAGTCAAGTATAGCTCGTACCCCATTCCTCCTGTATCTATCAATAACGGGTAGAATAGCCTGAATATTCTCTCCAGCAACAAACTGTCCATAAACTGTCATCTTCATTACTTTATTGAACATTTTCGATCCCAATATGTCACGTGCAAATTTCACCAGCTGTAATAGGGTAAGAATAAAGTAATGATGCCTTGGAGTGTGTTGTTGTGTTTATGTAAGTTTCCTACAAAACCGCCATGAAGTAATACAGTGAGGTATATACGAGTTCCATAAAACTATGAGAGTGAAGTACAGGCAGTGAAGTTTTGTGACACTCTCCAAGCCAATTGTCTACTGTGTAAGGTCCATTGGGACTGCATGCCAAAATAAACGTCGTGGTTCTTATAGTCATGGGCTTGCAGACAGTCCGAATCCCTATCTTGTTTCCTCTATTTTCTCCTTCACTACTGTGTGATAACCTTTTGGCTCCTGTTGACAATATTTTCGTAGCTGAAGATGGAGAATACAAACATGTGCCGTAACAAGTCCCTCGTGCTTTTGTCCTGATACGCTGTTCCTGTATCTTCAAACTCAATTGCTTTCTTCGTCGTCTCGGTAATACTCGTGCTGTAGCACGAGTACTTCCATCCAGTAGACAAACGAAAACACCGTAGAGTTCTTACTAACATCTTCATTCCAACCCTCGCTGCGCATGCGCGCCGAGGGTTAACAATACACAGAGACCTCGTATAATTTATATGCTCGTCAATCTGCCAGCAATGAGTTGCGAGAAGAAAGACCGGGCGGTAGCCGTTGAAACACTGTTAGACGCACCTGATACTGTCGTTTCAGACCAGCATGAGAAACATCTCACTGACTCGCGAAGTACAGATTTGAGTGTGGAAGACCACAACAGTGATCATGCTGCGGAATCAAGTTCGGAGCCTGCAAGGAAAGGTTCGCTTTGGGTAACCAGCATATGAGGGGTTGTGTCATGGGCTGAATGCCTGGGGCAGTGTATTTGTTCACAAATGTACAAAGAAGGCGATTCAAAAAGGCCGTAGACAGTCTAACCGCACTCTACGCCGGGATTTAATTTATTATGAATAAATTCATGAGGCTACGTTGAGACCCCGGTTGTTAACCCTTTTTTTCTCCAAGAAAACGAGAAACAAGTGTAGGAGTGGTTGGATAAAAAAAAAACAGAGACATTACATATCGGAGGGAACATGTCCCTCTGCAGCGGCAAGGTCGATGTTGAGCTCACTGAATGGGTGGTGGCGAGAGGATCTGCTTCCTCGAATGCAGAGGATAGCATATCGGAGTATAGCGAATGATAGGCGGCAGCAAATCCAACCCATGACTAGAGAGTATTGCTTGTCCTGCTTCCAGGACAACTCATCAGCCAGTCTTTTGTAGAATGTCGTGGCTTCACGTGCCATACCACCAGTAGTTGAGAGGACAAGTGGTGTAAAAACCCCATGTTCAACTTCTCGAACTCTTTGGGCATATTCTCTCTTCTTTGCTGTTTCGTGTTTGCGATATGCTGCTGCGGTGGTCATCGAACGGTTGCTTGACGCGTTGGGGTGGAAAACCCTAACATAAAAAAATGCGTCTTGGCCAGTGTTCCAAAAACCACGAGCACGGATAGGCGAGCGTTGGCATCAGTGTTCGCTGTGCGGCGAGGGAAAGATTCGTTGGTAAGTGGTTGGAAGATTGGCTCGGTTGCAACATTATGGCAGATTTGGTTGGCCGTCATGTCACGAATCTCATTGTGGCGGATTGTTGGTATGCCGCCCATATGACAGTCATGGCATGATCTATTGAGAAGGGTGTGCCACAATTGCAAGAGCAAGGTATGTTGCTCAGATTCCACCCGTATCTGAGACATACAGCATCACGAAATTCCCCCTTGTGCAGGAGGAATCGATGCTCCGCCATTGGTAAGACAGTGAGCCAAGCTGAAGAGCTGCCAATTCCACTGACCGTTGGAGCTGTGGTGTCAACTGTGCAGTTGTGTCTCTTGCTCGTTTTTGTTGCAGCTCTCTGTTTGTCTTCTTCACTTGTTTATTTATGTTTAGTTGGTCGGCATTCTCTACAGGTGGAGATCCTGTGATGCAATCAGAGCTACAAGTGAAAAGCATAAGAAGAATTGGACGTGGGATTAGCCAGTCCCATTCCGCCCAGTTTGGTGGGAAGTGCTAGGAGGTCTCGTTCCAAAGCAGAGCAAGCTTCTCGGCCAGTGAGAGCTGGGATGAAATGCTGGTGAATAGCTGTCTCAAGGGGCTGGAGCAAGTCTTGTATCTCAGGAATGGTCCTTGAGATGTACGTCCAGTGACTGGAGAGGCCATGCGTGAAAGCAGCGTAGGCCGCATGAGGTTGGGTGAGGGAAATTGTTGACAGAGTCTTGATCTCATTAATCCATTCACCTACTTTCCTGGAGACGTACTCTTCAGTGAAGGACTTTGCACCAATTGCGGCCCCTAAATGGTGCTTGCCATTGATGGTGATGTGAACATCAGTGTCGGCAAAGAGTTCTTTTGCTTTGCTTTCATGTTCAATGAGGTAGGTTTTTGAGCTGTTGGGATGGTAGCCATAGGCAGGGCCAAGACGCACAATCTCGTCCCACCAATGTCTCAGCTTCTCACTAGAGCCTGCACCTGTTGCGTCATCGGCGTACCATGCTTGCTTTACGTCTGGGGATTTGTTGCTCAGAAGGTGGATCAGTGGCACTGTAGCGAGAGCATACATGGCCATTGCCAG